TTATGGCGATGTTGCTCGCTTTATTGCTGATTACTTATTCAATTTTTACAATTTGGTTTCATTACTCTTAGCCTAAGCTCAGCCTCTTCTCTGCGTTGTTATTTTACTCGTGCCCAGTCGAACTTAGGAGTTGTTGTTAGGTGGAGTAGTTTAAGGCGGCCAAACTCAACTGTTGCTATGGTCGAATCATTGATTGCTTCGGGCAATGACTCGAAATGGTGAGGTGTGTTGTTGCTTTGGTAGGACGCCTGTTTTGGCGGGAACATCCGGCTGTTACTAAGAGGCCGTTTTGTTGTATTTTTGTGATGCTGGCTAATCAGCGAATGCCACGCACTCAGGCCGCGCATCATTTTAAAATGCTGATTTATAATTTTTTATAGGATCTTAACCCTTAGGTAAAACGAGAGATTTGACCTGGTTACTTAAGTTCGTTAGCCAGTGTGGTAGACATAATATTTGCCTTGGTTATCTTAACTTATATATACATTTGTGTATGGTAAATCAGTGTTTAGGGAATGATATACTGTCGATCATTTCAATCATTGAAGCATAAGCTTGCATCACTTCGGGTATTTTCTGCTGATACGAACGTTCATAAACAAATCAGGTATAAGCTGATCGCTAGTGATTTTAATTTATTCTCTATCGCTGATTTGAAGACAAACGATACGCTTCGTGTACATGAACAGAAGTGACAGAATCAGACAGAGTGACGTATCAGTACTTAAGTATACACAGACATTTATTACTCGTTGCAGTTCAATGTTTTAAATGTCCGCTAAAGACAAAATAATAACCGAAATTCAAAATGAGAATGTATGATTTTCGGTAGTAGTAAACTTGTTAAAAGTAATGTTACGTTGTTTCGAATTTTAGGTGACGATATGAATGTAATACCTTATCTTTTAACTAGGTTGGAAGTTTAACTGCGATCAAACTCCGCTCTCCAGTGATTGCAGGGAATTTTGCAGTTTGGGGAGGAATGTTCAGCACTATTGACTGCACATTAGTGCATTTTCGGAAAAAGGAAGATCCATGGAATTCAATTATAAGTGGATTTACAACAGGTGGAATTTTAGCTGCAAGGAACGGTAATTATTGATAATGTGTAAATAAGATATTATATATATTTCTTATTGGAACAGCTTTACATACCTAAAAAAATTTTACCCAAAATCTGATTCCACATTGAAAGTTCTAAAGCAACATTTACTTTTCACAATTAGAACGTAATTTTTTAAAATATATGTATAACGGTATGCAAAAAAGTCCGTTATATATTGGGAAGTTGCTAAGATCATATTCAGGGAAATAAGTATCGTGGTTGGCGAAAAAATTAAAACAAATTTGCATGTGACCTAGTCGGGTGTGCTCATATAATTAAGCCAGTGTAACGAAATCTTAGCAATCACGATCTGGGTAAAAAAAAGTATTAAAAAAGTGAAGACTTTATTGGTTCCATTTAATTTAGAAGTGTTTTCTAAAATAATGGATAAGAACAACAGTTCAGTTCCATGTGAGAGAAGAGGCATATGGAAATATTACCAAAAATTCAAAAATATTGCGAAAATAGTGGATATTATTAGAATTACAGATGTCATTATGAATAGGAGCTAAGTTCATTATTTAATAAACTTCCTCGCCAAGTCAACACGCGTTTTACTCTCCTAACAGGTTATGGGTCTTTGACACACAAAGTTAATTTAAACCATAAATAAATAAATCCCGGTAAAAAAGGTTCTGGGTGTTAATTAAATATATTAACTTTTGATTTGGAATATATTTTACAATTTAAATAATGTCGAACGTTTTTTCGGTACCCGTCGAACGAATGAAAAAKCACTAGCTGAAATCACGATGTTGGTGGAGCCAAATAATTTCGGTCACTTTGCAGATAAAACATCAGCTAAAGACGCTTGGAAAGCACTCATGGAAGCCTATGAAGATAAAGGTTTGACGCGCAAGGTGGAACTGTTGAAGCAATCGGTACAACTCAAGCTGTCAGACTGCGAGACTATGCAAGAGTATATAAACTCAATGATAATGACTGCATTTAAAGTGAGAAACGCAGGTCTAAAAATTGATGATGAACTAACCGCATCACTCATGTTAGCTGGCTTGCCCAATGAGTTTCAAGCGTTAGTGCTCGCTGTCGAAAACTCCAAGAAAACGCTCACGGTAGACGCTGTGAAAAATCTACTTTTATAAGATGCGAAATTTGATGCAAAGCAAGGTGCCGAAATGCTCTTTATACAAAGGCATTTTAAAAAGTTCCCTGTCATTCGTGCAAGCAACTAGGGCACATAAGCAAAAACTGAAAATAGTGAAAGACGACAAGCAAAAACAAAAAAGTCAGGTTCTTTTTGCTTCATCGCTTTATGCTAATGTGCACAACAATAAAGATTCGTATGTCGATTCCAGCTGTTCTCAACATATGGTAAAAAGCAACGAATTCATGACAATTGAAAACGCGCGATAAACAAGAGAGTAATTGTCGCTGACAATAACAAAATTGATGTTGAATGCACTGGCGATGCGCAACACTCTCTAGCTGTTAAACATAAGAATGTTAACGCAACAATCAAAAATGCTGAGTACGTTCCTAGCTTATGTGCGAATTTGCTTTCGGTGAGGCAAATGACAGACAATGGGAAAGAACTCCATTTTAAAGACAATTGGTGCAAAATATTAAACGAGGACAAACAACTAATTGGAACTGCGAGCAAAATAAATGGTATTTATCGTCTGAACTGTGTGCAACGAGATAATGCAGCGATGGGCGTCGCAAGCTATAACATATGGCATAGGCGCTTAGGTCATATCTGTCGCGAAAGTGTCGCAGCCGTAAAAAATGCTTCGGAAGGTGTTAAAATTACAACCAGTGGGAACGACAAATGTGTGGTTTGCATAAAAGGCAAGCAGACCAGAGCGTCACACAGTGACAAAGGGCAGCGTGCTCAATAACCTGACGAATTAATACATAGTAATGTAATGGGTCCATTAAATGTTAACTCATTTTATGGTGCGCGCTATTTGTTAACGTTTGTGGATGACTATTCCAGAAAAGTGTTTGTTATCCCAATTAAGTTAAAAGCAGCTGCCTTCGAGGATTTTTTAAAATTCAGAGCAATGGTGGAGAATCAATCTTCGAAATATATAAAAGTTCTCCGAATGGGCAATGGTCACGAATATATAAATGAAGTGTTCAAAAAATATCTTTCGAAATATGGCATTATTCATCAAAAAAAATGAGATGCATGATGCTAGGTGAAAATTTGGCGGACAGATTCTGGGCTGAGGCTGCTGTTACTGCGGCATATCTACTGAATCGTACACCATTCAGAGGTAACAATCTGAGTCCTGAAGAGTTGGGGTCAGGAAAATTACCAAACTTGAAACACCTCAAAGTCTTTGGTTGTAAGGTAATGGTTCACGCAGCCAAAGAAACACGCAGTACGTTAAAACCTAAATCTTGAGAATGTATTCTCGTAGGCTACAGTACTGAATCAAAGGCATACCGATTTATGATTCTGTAGCGAAAACTATTATTGTTAGCTGTGATGTAGTTTCTATCGAAAGCCAAATTAATCAAAATCCTCCAGCTATAGATGCAAAGGCAGATACGGTTAATTTTTCCGATGCCAATTCAGAGGGGGAATATGTGGAAGAATTACCAACAGAGAATGGTAGTGGTGCAACTTCAGGTAACAGTCATACAAAAGAGAATCATGAATCAACAATGGAGCGCGAAAAAGTAACAGATTTGGAAAATGAAGGAGTCCGTCGCTCTGAGCGATTGCGGAATAAGTTACGACCAAATTATAATCTCTGCGTAACTGAATATGTATCATCAGATCAAAACACTGTGGAGGAAGCGATGGCAAGCGAACACCATAAACTTTGGCAATCTGCAATGTGTGAAGAAATTGAATCTCACGATATCAATTGCACTTGGGAACTATCAGCCCTGCCTATGTGTTTCAAAGGGAAGACTTGTGGTGAAAGCACATCGATTATGACGAGACATTCGCACCAGTTGTGCGATATATGTACATCAATTCGTTTTTTGCTTGCTCTTGCGGTGAAATATAATCTTACTGTTTATCAAATGGATGCTGTAAGTGCTTTTTTACATGGCGAGCTTAAAAAAGAGATCTATATGACTCAGCCAAGTGGATTTGATGATGGATTCGGTCACGTCTTCAAGCTTGGAAAATCGTTATATGGTCTGAGGCAATCTAGTCGTGTCTGGAACATAAAGCTCAATTCAACGCTAGTTAGTTTCGTCGATCAGTGCTCTCTGAAACTTTCAGAATGAAAGATCTAGGTGCAGCATCATCGGTTTTGGGTATGCGTACAGTAGGGTGGGTCGATTCCGGACTTTTTTCGATTCGGGATTTCTAATAGTGCGGAAAAGTTGCCTTAGTATTTCCTGATTCCAATGCAACTTTTTGTTTTGAGATCGGATTGCATCCTCAACCCCAACTCCGGCCTTGAAATTTCGGAAATTCGCCTAAGATAGTGAAATTGTCTACCTATCGCCTGAAATACACATCTCATGGCAAAATGTATAAAGCAAAAGTTATTTGTCACGTCATTTGCTACCGAACCGTGCCCGAGATACGAGCGAAAATGCGGCGCCATACGACACGTTCGGACTGGTCTCCACATAAATATTTTTTCATCGAGTTCCTTCACTCTTGTTGATTTCGCCGAGTGCTATCACTTATATTCTCTCAACAGAACACAGAACTCAAAATGTCTGTATCTAAATTTAAATGTAGACAGAAATGCCCTGTGTTTGGCATATATGCGCACAATCTCTCTGAGTCCCAGTTACCTACTTACCAGGATGTTCTTTTGTATTATCAGTTTAAAAGATTTCGTATAGGGCGACCCCGAGGCGACAACTATGAACTTAGGAGTAAAGAGGTTACAGAAATAGTTGCAAAAAAGGTTGAAAATACTTTCAAAAAGTCATCTATTCCGATAATTTCACACACCAGAGTTGTGCAAATGCTCACCACATACCATAAGAAATTGCTGACTCTTGAACAAATGTTTTTAAAGAACCCAATAGGTTTGAGCTCTAAAAGAGACGACATCAACACTTACCAGAAAAGTATCAGCTAGAACACGTGACCATTCAGATCAGCCAGGCTCTCATACAGACGACAACAGTGTAGGTGCGTCGCACATGGATTCTTCCAAAAACGATACTGATGATGAATTTTCTCTTCCATCCTCTAAAACCAAACAAAACACTCTAGTATTAGAACACACTGCTTTAGCTGCCCAAAGATTTGGAGTAAGTGACGGAGCAGCGGCCTTGATTGTTTCATCTGCTTTTCTGGATGCCAAAAAAGCGGGTTTGATAACAGAGGATCAGGCTAGCTTTGTCACTGACAAATGCAAGATTAGTCGGGCAAAAAAATGTGTTGGAGGTAAGCTCCAAAACATCAAAAGTATTGACTCTGTATATGGGCACAAGTCAGCGAAGGTGAAAAGTACTACCGCGACACTGTCAAAGAGAAACATATTTCTCTTATAGCGGAATCTGGTTGTCATTACTTTGGCCACGTCACCTCTCCTTCCGGGTAAGCTGAGGATGAGACGCAAGCTATGTGGCAACATTTACAAGACAATTCAGTTGATATGGAACATCTAGAAGTTGTCGGTGCTGATGGCACCAACACGAACACAGGTTGGAAAGATGGAATCATTCGGAAACTAGAAGAAATAATAGGTAGGCCATTGCTGCGGATTGTTTGTCTTCTACATTTCAACGAACTTCCATTTCGTGCTCTTTTCGAACCTATAGATGGTGTCTCAAAGAGTCCAAATACATTCTCTGTTGACATAGGTAAACTGCTCCCTGATTGTGAGAAGTTGCCTGTTGTCAAATTTGAAAGTTTTCCATCCTGCCAATTACCTTCTGAGGTTATTAATCCGACCCAATTAAGCATATACCAAGCTTATCTCTATAAAATATCAGAAGCTGTTATTTCCGATCATAGATGCATCAAGATAACAGGTGCAAATCTCGCCGGCTCACCTGTGCAAATAGAATTCTGAGATTATACATTTCTAC